TAAGGTTAGATTGCTGATGAAAGACAAAAAGGGACGTGTCAGCGCGACTGCAAGAAAACCCAAGTGTGAGAAGAAATGAGCTAAAACGCTGAAACCAAGCACGAGGAGCTTGCTTTAAGCCATAGAGAGCTTTCTTTAATAGACAAACATGCATAGGAAATCGAGGATCAACATACCCAGGAGGTTGTTCCATATGAACACGTTCAATAAGCGTTCCATTGAGAAAAGCATTCTTGACATCAAGTTGTCGAAGAGGCCATTTATTTGCGACTGCAATAGAAAGCACAACACGGACAGTGGTAGCTTTGACAACCGGACTGAAAGTGTCAGTGTAGTCAAGACCAGGAACCTGAGTATAACCTTTGGCAACGAGACGAGCCTTGAAAGGCTCGACGGATCCATCGGGCAAATATTTAATACGAAACACCCATTTAGAGCCCACGATGTTGGTGTTGGCAGGGCGAGGAACCAAAGTCCAAGTATCATTTTGTTGTAACGCTCGAATTTCTTCATCCATGGCAGCCACCCAAGCAGGATTCTTAGCCGCAGATTTGAATCCTTTTGGCTCAGTGGATGCAAGAAGAGCAGAGAGAAGTCCAGATGAGCCTAACATACCAAGATTTGCTGGATGACGAGTCTTGAATATACCAGCTTTGGCGCGTGTGATCATAGGATGAGTGCCCAAAGAAGAGAAATCAACAGGAGGTTCAATAGAGGTTGAATTAGAAGTCGAGGGTGGTAAAGTGGAACCTGCAAGAGAAGTATCAACCTGCACAGACTCATCTACAAGGTCAGAACAAATATCACACGGGGATGAACTGGATTGAGGAATGTGCGGTGATGAAGTGGTAGGGGGGGATGAATCAATATGATGAAGATGTGGTTCCAAGAAATTTGAAATAGGAATAGTGGAAAGAGGTTGGGCTTGGGAGCTAGGGATAGCAGGAAAGTGAGTTTCATCAAATTGAGCATGGCAGGTGATATATAGCTTAGTGGTGGCGGGATCAAGACAGCGGAACCCTTTATGAACAGGACTATAACCCAAAAAAATACAAGGAATGCTGCGGGGAGAAAGCTTGTTAGGCATATAATCACGCAAATAAGGATAAACACGACAACCAAAGGGATGAAAATTGTCATAATGTGGAGTGTAGCCATAAAGGAGTTCAAAGGGTGACTTACCTCCAAGAAGTGGAGTAGGCAACCGGTTGATAATATAAGCTGCAGTGCTGAAGGCGTCAACCCAAAAACGAGGAGAAAGATGAGAGTGAAAGAGAAGGGCCAAGCCAGTCTCAGTCACATGACGATGTTTTCTCTCAACACGACCATTTTGAGCAGGTGTATATGGACAAGAGAGTTGATGGTGGATGCCAGAATTACGTAAATGAGTTTTGAAACGAGTACTAGTAAATTCGGTACCACCATCGCTTTGAAATACCTTGATACGAGAAGAATATTGATTTTCCACAAATTTTTGAAATTGAAGAAAAATATCAAAAAAATCAGATTTAAATTTTAAAGGGTAAAACCAAGTGAATCGAGAATAATCATCAATAAAAATAGCATAATAAAGAAAACCCGAATTTGATTTGACGGGAGAAGGATCCCAAAGATCACAATGAATAAGATCTAACACATGAGACGACCTACGTTCATTGCGGGAATAAGGCAATCGATGGCTTTTCGCAAGCTGACAAGTATTACATAATGATGGAGAAGGCAATAAAGACGTAAGAGAAAGATGACCTTTTTTATTTAAAAAAGAAATAACAGAATGATTCACATGACCCAGACGAGCATGCCATAAATCATATGAAGCACGTAAAGATTTGTTTTTAAGGGCTGAAATAAAAGCAGAGTTGCCGCGCTCCAGCACATATAGCCCTCCATCTCTTTTACCGGTTGCCACCACCCTTCCTGTTTGATGATTCTGGATAGTAATAAGATTATTAGTAAATGTAACGGAGAGAGGAAAATCAGACGTTAATTTACTTATGGAAAGAAGATTTTTAGTGAGGTGAGGGACAACCAAGACATCTAATAAGTGAATATTTGGAACAGGAGAAAGAGTACCGATGTGGGTAATGGGTAGGGATGCACCGTTTCCTACAATCACAGAGTCCTTACCCGTGTAATTTTTAGACTGATCCAGAATTGATGGGTCGGCAGTCATATGGGCCGAAGCTCCAGTGTCCAAAAACCAATCAGCAGCATCGGGTCCAGCAATAGAACATGACGTGTTAAAGGCTTCAGCAAGGTGAGCATGAGAAGAATCAGGTCGAACATACCGTTGGTTGCAGCGGTCAGCATAATGGCCCTCTTTGCGGCATATTTGACAATGAGGTGGTCGACGACCCTGACTTGAGTGGGTTCGTCCTCGATTAGAAGAGTTGTTTTTGTGAGAATAAGAACGACCTCGCTGGTTGGTAAAGGAAGCAGGGTGACTTTCATGAGTGCGACCACGATTAGTGGCTATGAATGCTGTAGGAGTGGAGTCAGAGGACTCAAGGGAGCGCTGGAACAACTCAAAACTTTCAGTTTTAGAGACTAGATCTGCAAAACAGGGGATAGGGGTGAGAGCCATCTGAGCAGTAGAAAAAGCTGAAAATTCGGTGCCGAGTCCACGAAGGAACCAGTGCACTTTATCAATGTCCTCGACGGGTCTGCCAATGGCATGAAGTTGGTCACAAATTTTTTTGAAGGCACGGGCATACTCAGCAACAGGTTTTGTGCCACGTTTCATCAACTGCAAGTCATCCTTGAGTCTCAGTTCACGAGCTTTTGACTGATGGCTGAACGTAGTTTCCAACGCAAGCCAAACATCACGTGCAGTAGAGAGACCAACGACAACAGCCATGGCTTCCTCAGTGAGAGAGGAGAGCAGGAGACAGAGAAGTCGTTGATCGGCTGCTTTCCATGCCAAATATTTGGGGTTGAATGTTGAGGAGGTTTCTGGTTCAAAGCGAGGTGGTGGAACCATAGTTCCATCGACATAGCCCAGCATGTCTTGACTCTCAAGAAGAGGGAGAAGTTGGCTTTTCCAAAGAAGATAATTGGAGGAAGAAAGTTTGATGGTGATCATATGGATTAGAGTGTTGAAAGGAAGAAGATGATAACAAGATTCGGAAGCCATAGAAAAGAAAGGATCACGGTTGTTAAACCGAAAGGGCTCTGATACCATGTGAATGTTTGATTAATCCACCACACCCAAATGGTGGTGAGAGTTCTCTTATTTATAATCATTTACAGACTACAGAAATAAGGTAAATTACAAATAATAAGGAAATAGCGATAAAAGGAAAGAATAATAAATGAATACAATATATTTGCATTTAGTAAAAGGGAAAATATGGTAACCGGTAATGTAAGGCAAATATCTAGATATTTGCCTTATAATGAACGGTCAACTATCCTTAACACTAAGGCTCACTAAAGAGACATATATAACCCTTTGCCACATCACATCATATTCAAATATCAATTAGGGACATAAAAGAGCTACTTAGCCTCTTAACATGCTTCTAGGAGACAATAACGGACAATAAATCTCATTCATTGCTTCATTTCTCAAGCCGTAGAACAACTTCTTTTTGGCCATCCCTTCAAAAACATCGGAGGTTTGTTTGGAATGTGCAGTCAAAAGTGTTTTTTTGTGGGTTACCTAGTTAGAAAGAACCATACAAACTTCAATGTCACAAGTCCAAATTTTAGCAAAAATCTGGGAGGTCAGTTATTTTGAAGCCTCAAGTTGGCAGTTCACCATTAGTGAAACACCATTTTGTGTCTTTTTACATAACCTGCATCTTGTCAGTTACGCTGTTTTTGTGTCATCGGCATGAACACTTGGCTAATGTGTTTGTTTGAACGTGTTAGATACTTGGATACTCTACTTATTCGACACTCTATCTTACACTTATTAGCACCACATACGTGTTTGACAATAGTTAAACATGTCACTCTATAAACATGGAAGTTTTGCCCTTAGTTGCAGTTCATGTTTGTCTAAACCAAAACCACCCCATGCACTGTTGAGGATTGTTGAGATCGAGTCACACTCGTTAATTTAGGAAATGATTATAAGTTTATAAGTAAATGAATACATCTCCATTGGTATAAGGCCTTTAGGGGAAGCCCAAAGAAAAACCATGAACACTTATACTCAAAGTGGATAATATCATACCATTGTGGAGGTTCGTAATTTCTAACATGCTGGTCATCGACACCATTATTTAGCTTCACTAGTCGCATGTTTGAGGGTTATTATGTCGATTTACCTCGTTTTTTTTTTTATTTGCTCTTCGATTTGCCACCACTTCCCCTTGCATAAGCCACAATAGTGCTCGGGTCCATATTATCCATGTAGTAATGGTTCAATCATGTATTAGAAGCAAGATCGAGATAAACGTACAAATTGGTCATATAGCTTGCTCGACTTAGAACTCCAAATGTCATCAATTTTACGTCCAAAGTCATAGATGGTGCAACATTATATTGTAATTTTTATTGTCTAATCATGTTGTGGGCAAAGCCCTTTTTTAAATCAGTTTTGATATTGTCCGTACACATAAAAAATGAATTGGCCAGAAGCATTTTGTGCCCTATAGATGGCATTGTTATTAAAATATGTATAGGCTTATGGCTTTGGCTTTTGTGAACCGTACTTATCCTATACTTGGGGGACTTTTGTCATCACTCATCCTTGCAATTAGGTCACAATCATGAATTGATATCAATAATGGGCCATAGTATGGAACTATATAATAATAAAAAAAAAATCTTTACTCGGGTAAAATTTGATCCTATTAGTTATGAAATTTAGTTCATGCGTCCGAGTATCAACTCGGGGTAGGTTTTTCCCTCGCTTATCAAAAGTGGGTTAAATTCTCCGCAAGCTTTTACAAATATAAGCACAGATTTTATAGCAAATTAATTTCTACTCGGTTGACCTTTATTTNGTGGCATCCCCAATTGTCCCAACCGACACAACAGCTAAATTTGCATTACCAGTGGACTCCGAGCACAAGGCCAAGGTGTTCAAGCTCTTCTCCTTCGCCAACCCCCACATGAGAACCTTCCACCTTTCTTGGATTTCCTTCTTCACTTGCTTCGTCTCCACCTTCGCCGCCGCCCCTCTTGTCCCCATCATCCGTGATAACCTCAACCTCACCAAAGTCGACATTGGCAACGCCGGCGTCACCTCCGTCTCCGGCAGCATCTTCTCTCGTCTTGTCATGGGCGCCGTCTGCGACCTTCTCGGCCCTCGCTACGGCTGCGCCTTTCTCATCATGCTCTCCGCCCCCACCGTCTTCTGCATGTCCTTCGTCTCCGATGCCGCCGGCTACATCGCCGTCCGCTTCATGATCGGCTTCTCCCTCGCCACCTTCGTCTCCTGCCAGTACTGGATGAGCACCATGTTCAACAGCCAGATCATCGGCCTCGTCAATGGCACCGCCGCCGGGTGGGGCAACATGGGCGGAGGAGCCACCCAGCTCATCATGCCCTTGCTCTACGATATCATCAAGAGAGCCGGCGCTACTCCCTTCACTGCCTGGCGGATTGCCTTCTTCATCCCTGGCTGGCTTCATGTCATCATGGGCATCTTGGTTCTCACTCTCGGCCAGGACTTGCCCGATGGCAACCTTAGCAGCCTTCAGAAGAAGGGCGACGTTACCAAAGATAAGTTCTCCAAGGTCCTATGGTATGCCATCACCAACTATCGAACTTGGATCTTCGTCCTCCTCTACGGCTACTCCATGGGCGTCGAGCTCTCCACCGACAACGTCATTGCCGAGTATTTCTACGACAGGTAAATAGCCCCTCAAAATCAAACCATTCTATTCTGTCTTACTTATAAACTCATGGTCAACCCCTTAATCTTAATTAATTAATGTTTGTTCTTATATCATGGTAACAGGTTTGATCTAAAGCTGCAGACGGCCGGGATCATCGCAGCGACGTTCGGAATGGCGAATCTAGTGGCTCGGCCGTTCGGAGGGTATGCGTCGGACTTTGCGGCGCGATACTTCGGGATGAGGGGAAGGCTGTGGACTCTATGGATCCTGCAGACATTCGGGGGAGTGTTCTGNAAAAAAATCTTTACTCGGGTAAAATTTGATCCTATTAGTTATGAAATTTAGTTCATGCGTCCGAGTATCAACTCGGGGTAGGTTTTTCCCTCGCTTATCAAAAGTGGGTTAAATTCTCCGCAAGCTTTTACAAATATAAGCACAGATTTTATAGCAAATTAATTTCTACTCGGTTGACCTTTATTTATCAAACTAATTCAAACATGTAGAATTTAAAAAGGTGAGAAATGTAGGAAACGTTTCATTAAATTCAACTTATATCCCATAGAAATTAATATTTTTGAGGAGAAAAAAATAGTGGAAAGAACTCTAAGGGTTCATGAAAGGGTAAGATAGGGTGCATAAAATATAGTTTATGTCTCCAACAGGGTTGCAAGTATGTGTAGAAAAAGGATGATACAAAGTTGACCTTATAAAAAAGTAAGAGGTTATATGAGATTGTGGGTCATCCTAATCATCCCAAGCTGTGTTGGATTAAGAAGTTTGATATTTTATGTGCAAAAAAATGAGGTAAGCCAAAGCATAATAATATTCAATTATTGTGTATTGGGAGTTTGATTGAAGAATTAGAATCGGAGGAAGTAGGGGACAATAACTTCACACCACATTGCCACTTCATTCACTTGGAATATGCACTAAATGTTATTTTCTACGTGATAAAAGTGTTGATTTGACATGACGTGATCGAGAATATTTAAATTATATTGTATTGTTTATTACATCTACAATTTTGAAGGGATATTAGGAATTGAATCTTATTAATAAAGATTATTTAATGACCCAAAAGCATAATTTACGGTTGTGTAATACACGACGGGACTTTTCACGGTTCAAACCACAAGGTGCGGCGAAACTTGATTCTCCATATCTAACTTTTGTTCTAACTTCAATCTCTCCTTATAATGTCAACGCACACTCCATTATAAATAGGTGAGGTGATGAGCAGGTAGGCATAAGAACACAGGGTGCTTGTTTGGTGGATTGATACTCACAAAGGAAAGAAAGGAGTTGAATTGAGTAGCGAAGATGAGCGGCGTTGAGGGGTCTCCAGGGAGCTCCATGCATGGGGTGACAGGGAGAGAGCAAACCTTTGCGTTCTCCGTGGCATCCCCAATTGTCCCAACCGACACAACAGCTAAATTTGCATTACCAGTGGACTCCGAGCACAAGGCCAAGGTGTTCAAGCTCTTCTCCTTCGCCAACCCCCACATGAGAACCTTCCACCTTTCTTGGATTTCCTTCTTCACTTGCTTCGTCTCCACCTTCGCCGCCGCCCCTCTTGTCCCCATCATCCGTGATAACCTCAACCTCACCAAAGTCGACATTGGCAACGCCGGCGTCACCTCCGTCTCCGGCAGCATCTTCTCTCGTCTTGTCATGGGCGCCGTCTGCGACCTTCTCGGCCCTCGCTACGGCTGCGCCTTTCTCATCATGCTCTCCGCCCCCACCGTCTTCTGCATGTCCTTCGTCTCCGATGCCGCCGGCTACATCGCCGTCCGCTTCATGATCGGCTTCTCCCTCGCCACCTTCGTCTCCTGCCAGTACTGGATGAGCACCATGTTCAACAGCCAGATCATCGGCCTCGTCAATGGCACCGCCGCCGGGTGGGGCAACATGGGCGGAGGAGCCACCCAGCTCATCATGCCCTTGCTCTACGATATCATCAAGAGAGCCGGCGCTACTCCCTTCACTGCCTGGCGGATTGCCTTCTTCATCCCTGGCTGGCTTCATGTCATCATGGGCATCTTGGTTCTCACTCTCGGCCAGGACTTGCCCGATGGCAACCTTAGCAGCCTTCAGAAGAAGGGCGACGTTACCAAAGATAAGTTCTCCAAGGTCCTATGGTATGCCATCACCAACTATCGAACTTGGATCTTCGTCCTCCTCTACGGCTACTCCATGGGCGTCGAGCTCTCCACCGACAACGTCATTGCCGAGTATTTCTACGACAGGTAAATAGCCCCTCAAAATCAAACCATTCTATTCTGTCTTACTTATAAACTCATGGTCAACCCCTTAATCTTAATTAATTAATGTTTGTTCTTATATCATGGTAACAGGTTTGATCTAAAGCTGCAGACGGCCGGGATCATCGCAGCGACGTTCGGAATGGCGAATCTAGTGGCTCGGCCGTTCGGAGGGTATGCGTCGGACTTTGCGGCGCGATACTTCGGGATGAGGGGAAGGCTGTGGACTCTATGGATCCTGCAGACATTCGGGGGAGTGTTCTGCATGTGGCTTGGGAAGGCGGACAAGCTCCCAACAGCCATAGCGGCAATGATATTGTTCTCAATAGGAGCACAGGCTGCGTGTGGAGCCACATTTGGGGTCATTCCCTTCATTTCTAGGCGGTCTCTAGGGATCATATCAGGGCTGACTGGAGCAGGAGGGAACTTCGGGTCTGGTTTGACTCAGTTAGTGTTCTTCTCAACCACCAAATACTCCACAGATAAAGGGCTGTTCTTGATGGGGATAATGATTGTGTGTTGCACTCTTCCAGTCACTTTGGTTCACTTCCCTCAATGGGGAAGCATGTTCTTACCCCCAACCAAACACCTTGAAAAATCCACTGAGGAATTCTATTACGGCGCTGAATGGACTGAGGATGAAAAGAAGAAGGGTTTGCACCAACAAAGCATCAAGTTCGCTGAGAACAGCCGCTCCGAACGTGGAAGGCGCGTTGGCTCAGCCCCAACCCCACCAAACACCACTCCTTCCCATGTTTGAACAATCAAGCAACTTCCCTCAACTCCCAACTTGGCTATCACAATATATCTATTTTACTATTTCCTTCTCAAATGGATCCATTGGGGAGTTTTTTAGTATATTCTGTGAATCTTCTTTGTACCAAAAAAGAGTTATGAAATGAGTATTATAATGACAATTGGGATGCACCTTCTCTCAATGGCGTTTTGTGATTGGATCCAATTTAATAAAAGTTAAATGGAGTTTTTGGTGATATCATTATGGGAAAAGCTTGACCTGTTCCTGCTTTTGAGACATAATTGGATTGGGACATTCATATTATGATATCAAAGTCAAGAGGGTGATTCTTCAATTTCATATTCAAGTTATTGGGTTCATCATGTTGATGTGCTAAGTGCACCAACTTGTGTGGCTAATTGACAATATAGGATTGCTTGTAGGGATTGGGATGTGGAAGGTTTCCAACACTTGGGGAAGAAGACTTTTGGAATCTATAGTGTGCAAGCATCTTATTTGGCATTTTGTGCTTGGATTCAACTAAAAGCTTTTTCTTCTTTTTAATATTGGAATTTGATTGCTTCGATGATATCATCATCTACGGAAAGTTGACTTATTCATTCCCATTTTTGGAGGCTTATAAATTTGAAGTATAGATAATGATTTAAACTAAAGGATGCATAGATAACAACTAATACACGGGTTTAGAATATTATCGGTTTAAAATGCATTTGTTAGGGAGAGGTTTCTACACCTGTCTTATAAGGAATGCTTCGCTCCTCTAACCGATGTGGGATCTCATAATCCACCGTTTGAAAGTCTAATTTCACAACCTAACTACGAAAAGAGTAGGTTGTGACCCTCACGTTTCGATAAGAGAAGTGGCGACCCTCAAATGGCGCCCATTCGGGCACGTGAGGACCTAGACGAGTGCCATGATGTGATCAAGGAGGATGATGCATCATCTAGCACACCACATAGAGTGGACATTGAAGAGAAGTCGAGACATAAGCAAGATAATGACATAAGTAGACAAGAGTGGCAAAGATAGGCTTGTTGAAGGGTCAAGTAGAGCCCCGATTCGTAACCTCAAAAGTTGGGGTTCTAGAAGGAATTTGGGCATGCAGTTTTGGAGTTCAGTCCGTCCATATGAAATATGAATGCTCGCCAAATTTGGTGTCAATTGGACATCGGATGGACGCTCCACGGCACCATATGACCGCTCGCCAAAATCAAGNAGCGGCGTTGAGGGGTCTCCAGGGAGCTCCATGCATGGGGTGACAGGGAGAGAGCAAACCTTTGCGTTCTCCGTGGCATCCCCAATTGTCCCAACCGACACAACAGCTAAATTTGCATTACCAGTGGACTCCGAGCACAAGGCCAAGGTGTTCAAGCTCTTCTCCTTCGCCAACCCCCACATGAGAACCTTCCACCTTTCTTGGATTTCCTTCTTCACTTGCTTCGTCTCCACCTTCGCCGCCGCCCCTCTTGTCCCCATCATCCGTGATAACCTCAACCTCACCAAAGTCGACATTGGCAACGCCGGCGTCACCTCCGTCTCCGGCAGCATCTTCTCTCGTCTTGTCATGGGCGCCGTCTGCGACCTTCTCGGCCCTCGCTACGGCTGCGCCTTTCTCATCATGCTCTCCGCCCCCACCGTCTTCTGCATGTCCTTCGTCTCCGATGCCGCCGGCTACATCGCCGTCCGCTTCATGATCGGCTTCTCCCTCGCCACCTTCGTCTCCTGCCAGTACTGGATGAGCACCATGTTCAACAGCCAGATCATCGGCCTCGTC